TGTAAGCGTTCAAGCAAACCACTTCTGAAGATGCAAGCCACTCGTGCTTGCGAAACGTCAAGAAGAAATTCTACCGAACGACGGCCTAAAAACCCTATTAGTTCCTAATGTGCGTCTGTACAGTTTTTGGATCCAAAATGAGAAAGATATTGTCGGTTAATGATCGCGACTGCTCAAAAACCGCTCAAAATGACCCAAAATTTTCGATTATTTCCGATGATCTAGAGCTTCTGGCCTCTTTTTCAATGAGCTCGTTGCATCCATCGATTCTTGCTCATAGAAGTGACATAAAATCCAAAGCATTTAAGGCGAAAAATATGATTATTGGAACCACTTGGAACATATAAATCAATCAATTACCTACTTATGATTTTATTGCATTGACATTTCAACTGAGTACATTAATTGAATCTTGCAGGTAACTGGTAAAAATCTATTAAAAATAACTGATTTTATAAACTGCATGAAACTGGCGAGTTTTGCAGGATAGTGGACCGTCGTTGAATAGATCGGCCTAAAATCCCGAAACTCTTTTGTTTAACAAACAAAATTGTTTGAATTAATTTGTCTTTTTGTTGCCTCTCATTGTACTCTTGCTCCTATTGGACAGTATTGTCAAAAGCGTAAAAATTCCCAAGGAAGCCGTTAAAATCGTAGTCAGAATTGCGGCAGATAGCAGAAAAAGCTCAACATCAGTTGAGTAGGTGCCATAAAATGACGAAAATCTCGATTTGGGAGTCAAAAAATCGGCTCCATCGGTTGCATTGTGTCGCAGCACATACTCAATCCAGTATATCGCCTTTTGTACGGGACTTTGAGGTTGGTCTCGGAATTTTTTCGCTAGTTGGTCCATGTTTTCCAAATATCTAAGAAAGGCAAATGTGGATGATGATTAAAATGGCTGGATTAAATCGTTGGCAACGTTTTTACTTGTTGTTTACACCGCCCGAAAACGTCTCAATGCTTTCTACTTACATAGGATTTTGTAAAATGGCGTTAATCGAGGCCGAGATGGTCTCTTCAGTTAAATCGTTGTAGTCCAACTTGAGGCCCAAATGCCGATCAACAATGAATTGGATGTTGCGATGATGCTCATCGTAAATGGGAATACCTAAGACTGGAACTCCGTGATAAATCGCTTCTTGGATACTCAACGATCCGCCGGTGGTGATGAAAAGTTTGGTATGAGGGTGACCTAAAAGGTGGAGTGTGGTTTGGGGGAAAAAACATCAAAGCAGGCAGGCGAACCTTACCTAGAATCTCATTTTGGGGCACCCATTTATGAATCAGAATGTTTGAGGGCCGGTCATTGAAAGGATGGTCTTCGTCGTCGATATTGTCCTTCCACATGATCGTTTTCTGGCTGAGATTCATGAAAGCGTTGGCAAACAGTAGCTTCGTTTCCGGACTGAAGATGTTCTGTTGAATGTCCGTGCCTGCGCTGAAGAAAATGAACCCTTGATTGGCATTGTCGATGATCGACTGAAGAATCTGGGAATATTTCACAGTTTATCCCGGCTGGTGGACTTGAATCCTCATCACTTACGCCAGGCATGGGCTGCAATTTTCTTATGTGCAACCCTCCCAATGGGATAATGTTGGGCGTCAGCGCTTTGGGCGCATTGAGCAATGGGTACTCATTAACGAAAAGCAGCGAAATTCCCTTTTGCAGCTCGCCGAACTCGAAGGTTCTGTTCAGCAAGCTTTCCGCAAGTTTTTCAATGGCCCCCTGTTCGAATGTCTTCTTGAAGAATATTTCAAATTTCGTGAAAAGGTAGTTTTTCAATCGGTCCAAGAACGTCTGGTCTCGGAACGGCCTGGAAAATTAACTGGGAATTATCAATAGCTGTTAAAATTCAGCCAATACTTGCTCTAAAATTGGCGAGGCAAAATACGACGGATATCCGCCATTGCCAAACAGCTCGGACAAATAGGGCGTCAAGGCTGATGGTGTAAACCCAATAGTGTAGGGCCGGCCGAAACGTTCGATTAATGGATAAAGGCACGGTCCAAACGTCATATCCATTAGGATCAAATCAAAGGTAAAGTTATCCGGGTAGTTCCACAGGCTGTTGAAGCCCTTCGAGTGATAGGTTTTGTTGCAAATCGCATAATTGTAGTTGTGGTTCAGGTGAATTATCCTCCAAGGGTTTGCGAACAAGTGGGCGGTTTTGTTCACTTTGTAATGCGCCATAAATATGCCTACATTCATACAAACTGGATGCGATTTTTCTGAATTTTGTGCGGGATTTTACCTTCGAATGTAATCGGGTGATACTCATCGCTGGCTGGAATGGCTCTGGAGAATGAGCCTCCTAGAGTGATGTTGTGGCCTTTGGCCACCAGCGCTTCCGCTAGTTGAGTGATCCAGATTTGATGGCTTCGTCTGGCTGTTTCGTATGTTATAAGAATATTCGCGCCCTGCACCGCTGTGATCCCCAGCAAAAATATCACCAGCAGGTTCATGATGAGCTGAAATTTTCGACCGAAACGGCTCACGAGAATGTTTCGAATCGGGTTCAAAATGCTCAGTTAGTTGTGGCTAATCTTTGCAACTACTAACAGGTAGCTGTGGATAAAGCTTTTGATAACACGTTGGTCTTATCGTTTTGACAGGGAGATTAGTGGAGGATGATGAATCCACTCTCCATAGGCGGGAATGATAGCGAAAGGTGCAACGTGGTTCCAATTTTGTGGACTAAACATTATTTGCCGGCTTATCCGGATTAGATGGACTGAGCGTAAATGTTATACCAAGTGATTGAAATTTCGTTAACCCGGGCTCGGTGCTGTTTTATAATCAAGATTAGTGGGGTTCAAATTACTCGAATTTGTGTTTTGTGCGTGTATCAGGCTTTGTAACTGAACTGCAACATACTTCCAATCCCAAGTGCTTCTCAAATTTCTTCCACACAGGCCATGTGGAGATTTTTTCTTTTCACTTATACATATTTCCAAGTTGTTTTTCGTTTTTCCGAGTTTCTCCACAGTCGTAGAGAAGTTATGTGTATTCAGGATTTCCGTCGTTTTTCTTGCAACATTTTTTTGGACTTTCTCCAACAGGCTCCAGACCTTCATTGTCGACTTCTTCAATTAATTTTTCCCGTTTTCGATTAGTTCGGTTTTTCATGTTTTTTGTACTTTGAAAGTTGACGAAGGCTCGCGATTTGACAGTGCTTAAGTGAAACTTTGTTACTTAAAGTGACTTAAGTGACTTGAAGCCTCAACTTGGATTTTTCGATTATTTGTCGGTTTTTTATCCATTCATATATCTGAAGTTAGGAAAATTAGGCTTTTGAAATTCGCTACAAAGTTGAACAACGAAAGTCGCTTTGAAGTTACTTAAATGTAATTTTTGTGGCATTAAGGGGTGATTTTTGTCAAATTTTCAAACTTGAAGCCCCAACTTGGATTTTTCGGTTATTTCATCGGTGTTTAATCCATTCGTCAATCTGAAGTCGGGAAAATTAGGCTCTTGAAATTTGCTACATAATTGAAGAACGAAAGTCGCTTTGAAGTTACGTAAATGTAATTTTTGTGACTCTAAGGCGTGATTTTTGTCAAATTTTCAAACTTGAAGCTCCAACTTCAATTTTTCAATGATTTTATCGGTTTTTTATCCATTCATAAATCTGAAGTTAGGAAAGTTAGGCTCTTGAAATTTGCTATTAAGTTGAAGAACGAAACTCGCTTTGAAGTTACTTAAATGTTATTTTTGTGACTCTGCAGGGCGATTTTTGTCAAATTTTCAAACTTCAAGCTTTAACTTGGATTTTTCGATTATTTCATGGGTTTTTTATCCATTCATAAATCTGAAGTTAGGAAAAATAGGCTCTTAAAATTTGCTACAAAATTGAAGAACGAAAGTCGCTTTGAAGTTACGTAAATGTAATTTTTGTGACTCTAAGGGATGATTTTTGTCAAATGTTCAAACTTGAAGCTTGAACTATGATTTTTCGATTATTTCATCGGTTTTTAATCCATTCGTAAATCTGCAGTCAGGAAAATTAGGCTCTTGAAATTTGCTACAAAATTGAAGAACGAAACTCGCTTTGAAGTTACTTAAATGTTATTTTTATGACTCTGCAGGTCGATTTTTGTCAAATTTTCAAATTTGAAGCTTCAACTTGGAGTTTTCGATTATTTCATCGGTTTTTTATCCATTCATAAATCTGAAGTTAGAAAAGTTAGGCTCTTGAAATTTGCTACAAAATTTAAGAACGAAAGTCGCTTTCAAATTACTTAAATGTAATTTTTGTGACTTTACAGGATGATTATTGTCAAATTTTTAAACTTGAAGCTTGAACATGAATTTCGCAATGGTTTCATCGGTTTATTAACCATTCATAAATCTGAAGTTAGGAAAGTTATGCTCTTAAAATTAGCTACAAAATTGAAGATCGAAAGTGGCTTTGAAATAACTTAAATGCAATTTTTGTGACTCTACAGGGTGATTTTTGTCAAATTTTCAAACTTGAAGCCTCAACTTGGATTTTTCGATTATTTCATCGGTGTTTTATCCAATCATAAATCTGAAGTCAGGAAAATTAGGCTCTTGAAATTTGCTACAAAATTGAAGAACGAAAGTGGCTTTGAAGTTACTTAAATGTAATTTTTGTGACTCTAAGGGGTGATTTTTGTCAAATTTTCAAACTTGAAGCCTCAACTTGGATTTTTCGATTATTTCATCTGTGTTTTATCCAATCATAAATCTGAAGTCAGGAAAATTAGGCTCTTGAAATTTGCTACAAAGTTGAAGAACGAAAGTCGCTTTGAAGTTGCTTAAATGTAATTTTTGTGACTCTAAGGAGTAATTTTTGTCAAATTTTCAAACTTGAAGCCTCAACTTGGATTTTTCGATTATTTCATCGGTGATTTATCCAATCGTAAATCTCAAGTCAGGAAAATTAGGCTCTTGAAATTTGCTACAAAGTTGAAGAACGAAAGTCGCTTTGAAGTTACTTAAATATAATTTTTGTGGCACTAAGGGGTGTTTTTTGTCAAATTTTCAAACTTCAAGCCTCAACTTGGATTTTTCGATTATTTGATCGGTTTGTTGTCCATCCATAAATCTGAAGTTAGGAAAGTTAGGCTCTTGAAATTTGTTGTAAAGCTGAAGAACGAAAGTCGCTTTCAAGTTACTTAAATATTATGTTTGTGACTCTACAGGGTGATTTTTGTAAAATTTTCAAACTTGAAGCCTCAATTTGGATTTTTCGATTATTTCATCGGTTTGTTATCCATTCATAAATCTGAAGTTAAGAAAGTTAGGCTCTTGAAATTTGCTGTAAAGCTGAAGAACAAAAGTCGCTTTCAAGTTATTTAAATGTAATTTTTGTGACTCTACAGGGTGATTTTTGTCAAATTTTCAAACTTGAAGCACCAACTTTGATTTTTCGATTATTTCATCGGTGTTTTATCCAATCATAATTCTGAAGTTAGGGAAATTAGGCTCTTGAAATTTGCTACAAAATTGGAGAACGAAAGTGGCTTTGAAGTTACTTAAATGTAATTTTTGTAAGTTTACAGGGTGATTTTTGTCAAATTTTTAAACTTGAAGCCTCAACTTGTTTTTTTTTAATTATTCGATCGAGTGTTGTTTATACAATCATAAATCACACGTTAGGACAGTTAGCCTCATGAAATTTGCTACAAAGTTGAGGAATGACAGTCGCTTGAAGTTACTTAAATGTAATTTTTGTCAGTCCACAGGGTGATTTTTATTAAATTTTCAAACTTGACGCCTCAACTTGGTTTATTGAATCACTCGATCGAGTTTTTATCCAGTCCTAAATCTGAAGTTAGGAAAGTTGAGCTCTTAAATTGCCTTGATATGTACAGCTGCGGCAAAAACTTCATATTGCGGTCAAGAATTGGGAACTTTAAGCGCCCACTAATTTATCACGATAAAATGGCGAATAGAAAATCAAACCGTTTTAACCGCGTTGCACGCTACCTAGTAGAAGCTGAAAAATTTATGTATTTATCGACTTGAGCCCCTCGAAGGACGATTCCATCTTCTACTTCTGATAAACTCCCCAGTGTAGCACCACTAATATAAATAAGCAATTAATAAAAATTATATTCATTTTTAAATAAAACACAAATTTGCATCAAGAAATAACGGAACACCACTTTGAAGCCCAGTCAACTTTTAAAACGGTTTCAGTGTCCTTTGTCCAAATCTTATAATTTTCTGTATTAAATGTGGAAAATAAACCTAAATTTTTTTACTGAATCTTTATAATGACAAATTCGTCTGATTTCATGGGGCTTTAAAACCTGGTTTGGCAATTTAGCGACTTAGAAAATATTGCGTTGTTTTAGTAGCATTTGTAAAGTTATTTTGAGCTGTTTATTTTAACTGCCAATTCATTGAAATGGCTCAATGCTCATTAAAATTCCAGATAATTATGCTGTTTCTATTTAACCCATTGAAATGCAGTGCATGTGAATGGCACGAATGTTTAATTAAGCCCTTTTTCAAAGGAATCCCCTAATTCGCGTAAATATTATGCTCCAGAATAGTAGTGAAGTATCAATCAACCGCATGTTAGGGTGAAAACGTTAATACCCTTTTAAACGTAGTGAAGTGGTGTTTGTTCCCCCGGCGGTTTGGTTTAATCTTTGCAAAGTGCTTATTCATAATTCCTCTCTCTATACTGATGGAATTCGTCTAATCGTTCTACTTCAAGGGCTATTTTTCGTGTACATTTCAATGAAAATGACACCAAACAGGGTTTTTCGATTGACGATGATCTTCATTTAATTTCTTGTTGTTGTTTGTTTGTTTTCTTCTTTAATGGCGCAATTCTTTGCAATATCGGTTTGCTATTCTATTAAAAGCGGGTTACAGAAATGGAAGACAAACGCCTCAGATTTTCCACCTTCGTGTTCTAGATTAACTATTTTTGTTTATGCCGATGTAAAAATATAATTTCGGTGCCGTCGTTGTCATTTTATTAAAAATATATTTTAGACTTTTCAAATAGAAATTTATTCTTGCCGACAAAGTCCGCATAACGTGGGATTGGGGTCATTCTCGTTGCAATGGGCCCTGAAGCTGAGAAATAATTTGTGTTCTGGAGCTCAATTGAAAAAGAGCAATTTTTACTGAAATTTGACCCTTTATTTGTGTGCCTTGATTGATGTTTGTGCGTTTATTAAGATCAGTCGTTATTCGATTATCGATGAAAGTGTTCTTGGTATCGACTGCTAATTGCTAAACCTTGCAGAATTGTTCTCCAACAATGGAGAACATTCGCAAAAACATCCCCAGCCTTTGTAAAGCTGGGCGCACGCAAACGAGCTTCTCCAACGCGAGAGAAGTTGCTAGTAGAAAAAATGGAGCCATAAGTAGAATGCGTTAGTTGGCAAGTTTGCAGGTCAAATCCACATTTGTTTAATGGTTCGGCCAGTTGTTTTGGCAAACTTTTCTTGGAGAATGGGCTTAAACAGAACGAGATCGCGTTTCGAGCTATCCCCTTCAAAACTAAAGCGGATGTGTTGTTCGGGTTTCGTGCTGTTCTCCATCTCGTTTCCTCCAAAGACGGGTGCGAGTTCTCCGTTTCGACCCGTTCCTTCGGTTTGTTTTGTAA